ATAAGTCCAGTGCATCGCACAAGCGAAGTAACGGGTCTAAACACAACATCATTAATAGTGATACGACGCAAGGGGAACAATTGAACATGCACTCAGGGTACATACCGTGATATCTTCACTTCAGTGGTCCTAGCGAACACAACATGTGAGGGGTTTCCCTGGTGCCCGCCACCCATAGAGCTCACCTGACGAGAGGGGTACCATAAACTTCATGGGCGTTCTGATAAACACTAAATCTCGCAATCAGTTGGGTATATCACCCGCCACCCATAGAGCTCACCTGACGAGAGGGGTACCATAAACTTCATGGGCGTTCTGATAAACACTAATCTCGCAATCAGTTGGGTATATCACCTGAAGTAAACCTTACCTGCATCCTCGGAGTCAATTGACTGATCAATTGAGTTCAGAAACCAGATCGCATACAGCAACACCATCCAGCAAAAGGGACATGGCGTGTTTGCGAAGGGTTCCCCATGCACCATACAGTAGGGCGTACGATCAGTAGTTTTTAAAAACACCATAAAGCTTACCTTCATTCCCGGGGTCGATGACCTGATCATTTGAGTATTAAACCTAGATAACGATACAGCGAAAGGGAAGCAGGGCATGTGTTAAAAATCCCCCATGCGTCATCTAGTAGGCTGGGCTGGTGATTGTGCTGATTGCATTCGATTAGGTGAGTCTGGTAGATGTCGGGACTCAGGCTTCAGGGATAAGTATCCAGGATAAGCTCGCTCCTGTCGCAGGCCAACCGATCTGCAGAAAAATGACACTGGTAAGTTGCAAGGAGGATGAGCAAGGAGACAGGCAAGTGTGAAAAAGATAGAAGCTCACTTGTAGCTGCGTGGGAGCCACGATGCGATTGATTGATGATTAATTGACATGTATTTGGCCACGTCTGACCAGAAACATTGTAGGCTAGTAGCCTATAGGCTCGTACACCGTATCGTATCATATATACATATTATGTACAGATAAGAGATACACAATCAACAGCGTGATCTGGCAACGACTGTTTTTTTCCGGCGTGGAGCTGAAGTAGTTGGGTGCATCGGAGAGCTATTACGTGGGTGTAAACTTGGAAATCACTTGAGCTTCAGATCGCAAGGGGAAAAATGAAATAGATTACTCACACACGAGTCGATCTGCGAAGCGGTGTTGCATCCGGCGGACATGGGGGCACTGCCTCAGCCATCCAGTATTCATTGGAGATTGGAGGGGGATGTATCATGTGATCATTGTGATGATCAGGTTGGCTGAAATCCAGCGAGCCCATAGCTGGTGGGGACAATGTGGCTTGAAGACCGTGAAGCAACGAACGAAGATGCCCATAGTCAGGGTCCTCTGAGAATGCAAGAGAGCGCGTGTAGATGAGAATACTTGCGAACTCGACAGGAATGCCATCGCATAAGTCTTCAATAGTGGTGTTGACCTTGCGCTCGAGAATAGAAGAGCTGGAGAGCTTCTCGTCACTAGTCAACCATGGAAGGGAGCCGCGCAACAAATAAATCAACATGTATGTAAGCGACTCGAGATCGTCACGACGACCTGGGTCAACTCCTAAGTGGTTGTTGATCGAAGCGAACGCAGGAGTGCCAGTGAGACGTTGATTCTGACGAAATGGGATGTGGACTCTGGTTGTGGTGTTCCAGTATTCCTTCGCGATACCGAAATCGATAATGAATGCAGTGTGCCTCAAGTGGCCAAGACCCACCAAGACATTCTGCGGTTTGATATCACCGTGAACGTAATTGTGTGAGCGGATGTACTCAAGACGTGAGAGCTGGGAAACAGGTTAGCCTACTTGCAACAACCCAGCACAAATCAACTGACCAGCTGGTCCCCCAAATTCACGACAGCGTGAAGGCTGAATTTTTGATTGTGTGCGAGGAAAATATCGTGAAGTGAGGGCCCAAGGAGGTCAAGGACCAAAGCGTGATATGTTGATTCTCTACCAAACCAGAGGGCGCGGGGTATCCCAACTCCACCCTCGAGTCGTTTCAAAATGGTGTATTCGCGCTGTACAGAAGACGAGTGGCTGGCGATGGGTTCGAGTTTTATTGCAACTGCGTCATCTTTGATGATGTTTCGTGCGTGGTATACAACAGCTAAGCAGACCCAGGGTTCATGTTGAGTTTTGCAGTTGTAAATGTAATCAGGTTGTGAACGACGTACCGTATGAACCAGATCCTACAACTTCTCCGAGTCTGAATCTACCGTCGACTCGTATCGGGACCTTATGATTCATGGTACGTGATAACTTGAGCCTTGAGGAGTACAAAAATCCAACAGGGAATCCAACCGGGAACAAGACTTAAAAATAAGATGTGATTCCATCAGCTTGAGCCGCCTTAAGCTGGCCTCAAGCCAGCTCGAGCCGCTGTTCATGAATTTTGGCTTACAGTTGGTTCGTGGCACTCTGTGCAGCTAATGAACCGAACCAAACTATACATAAGTGGCCTACATCAGTAAATCAGAACAGTCTGTACAGAGCTGTACAGAGCTGTACAGCACGACAGATGGACAGCTTGGTCCCTTCTAGCCAGCTCACCACAGTAACACCCTTCCCTGTCAATCCCTGTACAGACACTCACAGACACCCCAGAGCTTCTTTTCTGTACACAGTTTGCCAGAAAATTTTACTGTATACTACTGTCTAGAGTACTGCTACTGTAGGCTACTGTCTAGAGTACTACTACTGCACACCGCATCTTCGTCGCTGCACGATCCTCGAATCTAAAAATATGGAGAACGACCAAAATAGATGCATTTCACAGATACGCGGAATCGAATACAAATGTAGGTAAGCGGTAGTAGACAGCATAGACGTGGAAAATTGAGATCATGAACGCAAAACACCCAAACCTAATCCAGAACGACTCGCAGATGATTATGCTTTGTCGTGTCCCTCCCGTCGAGCTTGCAAGACTCCGCCCTGTATGAGTTCAATGAGTGTCAGTGTCCGAGACTTCGTTAAAAAAAACTTACCATCCTTCTGCAGCCCAGTGGCGAAGTTGCCGCCTCAATTTGGGTCCGTGGTATGGGTCTCTGTTGACCTCGTCGAGTAGAACAATTATCGAGTTGTAAATAGAGCCATATTCTTTGGCGGAGAATTTCGGGAAGAGTTTGCCATTGCCGTTCTTGGAAAGGCCATCCAGGACGCAATGATACTACAAAAATCAGTTTGAATGAGTAGCATATAATATAGACGAATAAAAAAATACCGCGGTGCAAATCAAAGCCAGGCTATTCAATGGTATCGCCTTCTTGAAAATCTCCGGCCTCCTGTGAGCGACACGATAAGATCCGGTGTATAGGAAGCTGATGGCGGCCTCTCGGAGGGTAGGGTGAGCAGCATTGTTAGTTTTTCCCAGGTCATCCATACCATTGCGAAGAAAGAGTGAGTCCTCCAAAAGCACCGTAGCGGCGTTCTGTACCCATGCGGCACGATCTGGCGCAGCGACTTCAGGTGGGGGGATGAGGTTATACATGCTGGGCGCTATGGTGACTGCTAGTTTTTTCAGGTCGGAACGCCATGTTGACAAGTCTTCGAATAGCTAGGATAACAAAACATCAGTATCTAGACATGCGGCAATCGACGCACATACCAGTTTTGCCATGTCGGGCTTGTGATCGGGCCACAGACCTAGTAGATTTCATGAGTAAAACATCACGAGGAAGAAAAGGACATACCTGCTTCAACCTGCTTACCGCCTTCAAGCCATTCTACGAGAGATGATGTGAGAGCCTCGGTGACGGAAATGGGCAGATCATCAGCCAAGGTCGGGAACGCGTTCTCGATTGCGTGCTGGGCACGGCAGTCCCCTTTGGCATCCTCAAGGAAGGTCTTCCAGCGTGGCGGGTACCAGCCAAGTTGAGTGGGCTTGGGTCCTTCAGGTGATTCCTTGGATCTTGAAGATTTGACCGTCGTAGCTGGGATTTTCGATTCGGTGGACTTCGCTTCAATGTCTTTTGTGTCGGAGGATCGGAGGAGATCAAGCAACTCAGGATTAGGAAGACGGGGACGTCCGTTTTTCTTGTGGTGATTGACTAAGACATCATCTGGCTTGGGTTCAGTGGCCGCCAGCTGCAGAAAAAAAGAAATTAGCGGGCTTCAGAAAAATAATTGAAATATACCTGGATCGTGTCATCATCGCTGGGGCCGCTTTCCACTGCCAAAGATCTCTCTGCTGTATGATCTTCTTCGTCGCGGGAATATTGGAACTCGAAGTCCGTCGGAAGAGCAGTGGTGACCTCGGGTCGAGGCGGTGGCACTTCCTTCGAGAAACCTGTCCCTCATTTAGCGCTCATGACGACGGAAAAACCAGCGACTCACCAGGATGCGCGGTATGGTACCCCTGCGATGCTCCCCAACCAACTTCCTCATCAACTTCCTCTTCGTCATCAGTAGTACCGCTATCACTGCCCTTACTGGATGCATCTGATCCATCAGACTGTCCTAAATGTCCATCGCCAACTGAGTGAAGGGCTGGGTCCAAGTTTTGATAGAAAAGAGTGTCAGATGGACGCGCAGCTGATGTGGACCTTGAAGGTACCGGTGGCGCGAAATCTTGCTTTGCAGATACGGTGATGGCAGCAGGAAGGTATTTGATCGCAGTCCTTGAAGGTAGTGGAGGCACAGAAATTTGGTTTGCGGGGGTGATGGGGGCAGGAAGACATGTCGTGGCGACGTTTGCCCTGGCTGCGGCCACATACGGGTTGTTGAGCACTTGCAAGTCAGGTTCTGTGCCAGGGGGTACAATGGATTGAGAAAATCCAAACCTTGTGCCAGCTTCGCATTGATGGAAACTGGGTCGGTCATCTGCTGTCTCCAAGCTCGAGGGAGGGATAAGAGCATTCTTTGTCACCTTGGCTTTCTTCCCCCGAGGTTTAGTAGGAGTCGCAGCAGGAGGATCCACCGTATCGGAGGCACTATACGGCGGAGGGGGTTTCTAAATGTATTCAGTATTGCCATCTGTAACTACAGGTAGAATAATATACTTACCTTCGCACGACTTCCACGGCCCTTACGAAGTGGTTCTGGAGCGAGAGGGTTGACTGGAACATTCGAGTCGAGGGAGGTGGAGCCCTTGGGTTGGTTGGTCCGTGCTGGGGCACCCAAGAGGGCACCAATTCTCTCGAGTTGATCAGCCCTACCTCCCATTCCTGCACCTGAACGTCCAGAACGCCGAGGGAGCAAGGAGCTATCTTCATCTAGAGTCGGCTGCTGCGACATGGAGAGTGACTCGGCCCCAGCCCGTGATTTCTTTGTTGAAATCTCTTGCCCATCAGAGTCCGTAGCTTTGCGCTTTGATCTCTTCTTCTTGGGGCTACTGCGGGTAGGATTTTGACGTTGGGTAGGCATGACTGGGGCCGTGGACGGGAGGAATATACTGTGGAGCAATAATAAGTAGCACTGATTGAACCAGATTATCCCGGCTTTTTGTAGTAGTCTGCTGGCGGCGGAATGAGAATGATGATCACAAAAATGATTTCGAAAATATGACTCTACCGCGGCCGCAGCCATTGTGTAAAAGGCTGGGAATTTTACGAGTCGACTGTTATCCGTAGGCCGCATATATAACGTAGTAGAAAACTTGCAAGTCAAATGTTGAGGGTAATGATGCTACGTTACGTCGTTGAGGAAGGTTGGATATATTTATCATGTCACATGACTCGAACAGAATACATGCATTAATCATCGAAAGTTTACCTAAACATTTGCGGTAAAAATCAAGCTAAAGTATGTTTCGCTAAACACCCCCTATCCAGTCTTACTCCTTTTTGCCTTGGGTGCCATTTCCATTGTCCATCGGTAATCAGTGACTCCGAGTCGCTTGTTGTTAAGGCGTGTCCGGGGCACTGCAGTCTCGCGTATGGGTGATTGTGACTCCCCTTCTTCGCCACCGCTCCCAGAGCCTTCTGCATTAAGCCCTTTGAGTAACCACTGTGAGACGAGGAGCTCAGGCGATGGCTCATCGATCGGAAGAATCGTGATATGTCTCTCCAACATCCCGATTATGTCGTTGAAAGTTACCCTACTCGGTTCTCTCATCAGATGATACCATTCCAGCGCGACAGGGAGGAGTTTTTTGAAGTATGGATGGAACTGCTCGGTAAGTTCCTTGACGTAGTGCTCCGTGTGCCAGAAGAATGTTGTTTTGGCATCACAGCACAATTTGAACTTGTCCGCGGACCATTGGCCCGGTATCCAGTCGGGACCTTGCTTGAGAATATGTTTCATGCCAAGCGGACCTCTGAATTCGATACAGATCCAGATGAAGATGTAGAACATCGACTCAAGGTCATCGTGGTAGGTATGCTTGATCAGGGGGGCAGGGTTCGGTTTCGAATCAGAGGCCTTTTGCGTTCATCCGCTCCATCTGGATCACAGAGGTGGAGCTGCAAGAGAAGCGCTCGAGACATGAACGGTAATGTGCCCTAGACATTCTTTGTTAAAAATTGATATTCTTTAGTAAAATCAAAACACTAACCGTGCCCCCGACAGCATAGTTCCCCTTCTTCAAAATACTCACGGCGAACTCCCAGTCTATCAGCATCCCGTGTGTGTCTTTCCCGTCGTCCTCGATCATCGCATTGTTCAGACTACAGTCGCGGTGGAGAATATTGCGCTCTTCCACTGCATCCTTCTGAACTAAACAATAGGTAAGTAAAATCTGTGATACATATTTATATCGTACTTACTCTTCACGATATCGCGTATTGAACTAAGCAACTCTAGCCTCGTGCGAAATTGATGCAAAGGTCTCGCGCGCGGCTTCAAGACGAGGCGAACGTGAGTTCGAAATGTGTTCTTAAGGCTGCGCAGAACTTTGTACCGGTAGTTTGCAGTTTGGTCGATTTTGTTCCTGGACTCGACGATCCAATGCTCGACGAGCTTAGGAACCCCTCGGACTCCATTCATCTTCCTCATCATGTTGACTTCGTTCATGGCCTCCTTCTCTCCCCCCAGGACCCAGTGGTCCTTTATGATGAATTCCTCGTTGTCTTTCCTGGCTAGGTAACAAACGGTACCACTGACCAACAAGACCCTGGCTGGAGAAGATGATTTCGAGCATATCGTAGTGATGGTCACCGACGCGAATCTTGCCGATAGGTTCTGGAAGGGGTGCGCGGAGAGGGTCTTCGGGTACTTCGATAGGGAACTCCAGTGGGAAGTCGTCGTTATCTTTCTTTTTAGCGGTGCGCTTCGTGTCCATGGTATTAATGTGAGAGGACGTGCCCTCACTCTCCTCACTCTCGCCCTTGCTCACGTTCTCAGCCCTGCCCTCGCCCTCACTCTCGCTTTCGCTCTCACCCTCACCCTCGCCCTCGCCCTCACCCTCACCCTCACCCTCACCCTCGCCCTCGATATCATCCTCGCCCTCGCTCTCGCTCTCGCTCTCGCCCTCGCCCTCACTCTCAGCCTTCACCTTCACCCTGGTTCTCGGGCAATGCAGTCGCGTCCTCGGCTTGCGAGGATTTCAACTTGTTCTGGATATGGAGGGGGAGCCAACTCGAGCGCGACTTCAGCGTTTGATCAAGCGTGTGCTTGAAGATGTTTATTGAGGGGTCATACCCGATACACTCGAGATCACCAAAGACGATGCTCGATAAGATTTGTAAGTACTTGTCAGGTTGTCGATCGATGTGAGTGCAAGCGCTTACGACTGCCGCCTGAGTGGTCGTATAAGTGGACACGAAGTTCGCGATAACCAGCGCACAACGAGATCATCAGAGCGAACCTTCTCCAGGGCTGGTGTTTCAGAAGCAGGTAAGCTTTAGTGTCGAGAGTCCTTGCAAGGGTACCAGCAGGTGTGTACGGGCTGGTGGTCAGCTCACATACTGCCTTGATGGTGTCCCATCGGGCCTCCAGATCGTCCAATAAGGCCAGATCTGGTTTACGCTTGATCGCATCGCCAGGTACTGGGCGCGATGAGTTCGCTGCACTCCATTTGCGCGACAAATTGTGTTTTTTCGCAAGCCCAGGTTTTTTTGTGAGTAGCGCAGCAGAGACGACGTTGAAAAAGGACCCGAAGATATACTCTGTCGCTGATGATTGATCCAGGTCCTCCTCAACGACTATCGGTTCATTCCCATCGTTGGATGGGTCTGATGAGTCGCTGGATGGCTTGTGATGACTTCCCCCATCAGCCGACATGGACTCGGAGAGGTCGCTTTCGGTAAGGTTACTGGCGGGTGGGGTATGGGCTGATTTCGTGTTTGTAGCTTCATCAACCAAGACCCACTCTCCCTTGCTGCTCTCAGCTTCTTCCTGCTCCTTTTTTTTGTGTTCATACGATGATGGAAGCATCCAATTCCACCGGCGCTTTTTAGTATCATACAGGTTGATCATGGGAGTCCCATCAACAACAAAAGTATCAAGATCCTCGACCCTTGCAGCTTGCGGAACCCTGCTCAAAGGAATTACAAGTTCTTCTGCTGCAGGAATTTCAGTAGTGAAGGATTGGAAGATATACGTCAAGAGGTGACCGAGTTCGTTTATGTTGGTAGGTTGACGTTCCTCAAGGATCAAGCGGTTAAGTTCAGAATTTGTGAGTTTATCCATCGTTTGGGTGTTGTGTATTGGGGGAGCTGTCATGAAGGATGACAGCTTCTTCCCAAGGTCAATTGTTCGATGGTGACGACGGAGTGGCATGGTGCGCAGGACGGACAAACAGGTACGTCTCGAAACATTGGCAGGCACTACAATACTATACAGGATGGTCGCAAAATGGTCTTATCTCGAACTAGATACTATGCTGAAAGGGCGAAGAATTTACTTTTTTCCCAAAACTCGTTCAACCAAAACTCCGCGGCATGTTCCATGCTATTATATGCAGTGAGGCGCTTATCTGCAGCGGCTCCAAACCGAGGGATCAGATTGACAGGCGCCCGCAGTTGAGAGACGGGTATGACATCCCCCATCCGATTTCCATTCGAACGTTTTGCTCGCTTGAGCAGGTGCAGTTGCGTAATGGGATCACGATCACTCAGTAAGTCGAAACGTTGAACATAGGTGAGAAATTGATCTTTCCATGGCCATTGCGTGCCACTCTTACCAATAGGCCGCATGATAAGCCTGATCTGAGCGACAGTGTGACCTGCAGGGCAAGTAGCGAAGGTAAGGACAAGTGTTGCTGCACAAGACAGAAAACTCACCTGAGAGACGGCTACTAGGCCATGAATAACCTGCGTTTGTCACCACAATAGCTGTGTCATAACGACCCAAGGTCCAGAGGCCATTGGGTGGAGCGCAATTGAGTGTCTGTGCGGGTTTGATGATCTGATCATCGTGCAAGTCTGTCTCTTGTAAGCATATTTTAAACCAGACTTGGATTGTGTTGAAAGGAAGGGCAGCCGTAGGTCCAGATCTCCTTGGGCCACCTATCGCGTGAACATGCTGATATCCATGAGTCGCCTCGCGCTGGAGGAAGTCAGCAATGGCCGGTCGCAGGTCGGGTAAGCCAAATTTGATGGCGGCTTCATCGACGGTGATATTCCTGATGGACGGATGATACCCAAGATGAAAGGCGGTGCGTGCAAAGCTAAATGAACGCAACGGAACAGGCACTGAACCCTCTGTCTTGTACTGGAGAGCCCTAGCCATGACAAAATAGTTCGTGACTGGGCGAGGTTGCTGTGATGTAGACAGTTCGGGGGGAACATCATGCGCGTCAATGTCATTATTGATGCTGGGGTCATCACCATCAGGGTCTACATCCTCTGGCACCTCAGCGCTGTGACTCTGCTCAAGATCTAAAAGGCTCGTGGCGAGCTCGAACCGACGACACTTTTCCGCGCGGTCCAGGTGTCGACATATCTGAGGATCGTACTCTCTGTTATTGCTAGACCTTGCGGGATCTTTGACTTCGGTGATATGAGCATGTTCAGTGATATCTGCGGACCACTGTGCTGTGACGCCAGAGGTGCGGATACTGGAAACAACGCTCTGCATAAGTTCCAGCTTGGGTATATGCCAGTGGATGATGGGTTTATTGCCCTTCCCCCGGCGAACCCCAGCGTCAATAATCGCGTCCTTGTGTGCATGGAACTCCCGCAATGCGCTTGAGATACGCTCAAGATCATCATCATCAAGGCGCGGCGACTGAGCGAGATAACGGAACTGCATGAGAGCACATAATGCGATGATGATATGGGGAGGTGCTGCGTCTGCGCATACTGCAATGATATATCGCTGGATGTCTCGTTGGCAGCGACCGGTGACTTGTTTAAGCTTCGAGATGCCTCCAGGAAAGTGCCGATAACCAGCGATGGGCTGTAAGATAGAAAATCGGAAATTGATCTCAGATTCTCCAACAGCACAGATGAGCCATTGTGCATTGTGGTCGAAAAACTGCTTATGAAGGTGGTGTAGGGATTCTGGTGTGAAGAAATGGGAGGGTTCTGCTAGTATCCAGTCCCGATAGAATGGTTCTGCGACACCATTCAGACGGAACTTCTGCGCTTCACGGAAGAAAGCCTCGAGGTCAAGGGGATCAGCGCGTGAGTGGACAACGGCAAGCTGTGCAAGAGTCGTTGATTTCATGCGGGGTTCATGCTGGAAGTCATCCCCGAACTGTTTGTACATCGCCATGGTCACTGGTGACGTCTTTCCACCAACAGTCGCCAGCATCATGGCTTCCGGAGTGTCAGCGATATAACTTGCGAGTGCAGTGAAGCAGTAACGACTCTTCCCAGCGGGGTCAGATAACATGACGCCCTTTCGAGCAGCCTGCTTCAATGGGTCTAGAACTATGTCTAAACACTGGTGTATGAGGCGATCCTCCAATACACCCTTCATCCGCTTCTTCTTATGAATGAACTTCGGGACCGGTAGTAGGGCGGTGAGGACGAAAGAGCTCGAAGAAGATTTAAGTCGCGTGTTCATATGTATATTGGCCAGGCTAATAAGAAGCGGATGAGCTACACGATCGCCTGTCAATGCGGTGATATTCGTTTTGTCGGAAGATAGGATAGTACCGAGGAGGGTCGCGCCACTTGGTATTGCTGACTTTAAGAATACGTGAGCCGGAGACATTGAAAATCGACGTCTTACGCACCTGCATGTTCCAAGCACCACTTCCCGTCATCCATTCGGTATAGACACGACACTGCTTCTCCGCCGTGGTATACACCTTGCGAGGTGTGAAGTCCATACGATTATGAAACAAGGGGTGGTTGAAGAGGGTCGCGATACACTCTAGAGGGTCACGCCAATAGAGAACCACGGGTGACTTTGTAGGATGAGACGTAGGAATTATTTGGGACATCCAACGTGGACCGCTGGGCAGCATCTCCGCTCGACCTCGCAGTTCTTTGGCCGAGCGGAATGAGAAGGGCAAATCTTTGATCTAAAATGGCCTACAGTCAATGGAGAGCAGTGAGTTTGAAGTTCGGGCACTGACCATGTCGAGCGATAGGAAAGAATCAATCTTCCCCATGCTCAGCCCTGAACGCAGTAGCCATGCGGCAACCTGCCAGTCTCTCCGACTGCTAAATGGAAAATAAAGGTTGGTCTTGCGATATACGCTATTTTCATCAGCGTCAAACAGGTCCAAGAACGTGTACCCATCCTGATAGGCAAGTGGTGGATCGGGAAAGTAATCTACCGCTGCTTCTTTGCCCTGGTCCTGTATTTCATCATGCTCTCCCAGTACAATATCCTCTTCTTCACCGTAAAAATTGCGTGCGTGTGGATTCGCCTCCTCTCCGACTCCTGGTTCATGCGAAGGGATAGGTTCATTGTCGTCTAATGAGTCCATGGGATGATCTTTAGCGGGCGGGATGATGGTATTGAGCCTGATAAGATCATCCAGCCAGGTGTTGCAGCCAGACCGGGGCTGGCTCATATGACGAGCAACAGACGTATGGTCCCTGAGGAGTTTTCCGCACGATGGACAGTGAGGCATGAGGCAAGTTGCGTTGCTGAGATGTCGGCATTTTCCACTACCGACTCTCTTACACTCTATCATGAACATCAATCTGCGA